GGTAAAGGGAACCCCCAAGATGGAGCTTGGAGGTGCCTGGGCGTTCAGTCTGCGCGGCAGGCCTGGCATCGGCTCCCCCAGGAGACACGGAGTGCGCAGTGCTCCTCAGCACCGTCCTGCCTTCTGAGCTGCTCCTGTGGGCACCGCGCGTTCCCCCTCCAGCCGGGAGCGGATGAGCCAAGCTGGGTTCGTCTGAGCAGAAGCAGCAAGCTGCCCGAGACGTGGTGTCCCAGTCTGAGGGCCCGGAGTAGGGAAGAGGAGCAACCTAAGATGCACCAGAGCGTTCAGAATTGAGGCTTTGTTTCTATTATTTCTCAGCAGCCTTTATCTGTTATAATCTGCTTAGCCTGCTGACTCCAGCTAGCTGTTTTTGAAAGACCTGCAGGCATGGAGTGGGCAGCGTGGAAATTCCCCAGCACATTGTTTCCTCAGTTTGGCTGGCGCTTTCACAAGTGCTCATTCACCCTTCCAAAGTTCTCTTTGCATTTTTGATTCTTTGGGGGGGGGATTAATGGTGCTGTAGTTGACAACGGCAATTATTCCCACCCCTTTTCTCAGGATTTGCCACTTAGTGCCATATAGGCACTGTACACAGAGTAAGAAGCTAAAGGACTACCAAACTATAAAAATAATCGAAGAAAGCAGAGAGAAGTTAAACTAAGCCACCACTGCATTGACGGTGCAACCACTGAGTGTGGTTGTTAATAATACTTGTGCATCCTGACAGGCTCTAAAAACCCAGCATACACTAAACATGTGAGGAAGACAAGTACAGTGCTGTTACTTGGTGTATAAACGTGCGTTGCACTTTTACAACTGACTTTCTTTTCCTGTTTGGGCATTTTGTCTTTGCAAGCTGAAGACAGACTTAGATCAGTATTGTTTGGGACCTGAAAGTTAGGCCTGTTTTTATTGCTTCAGTTGGACTTGATTTTCAGTGGGCTGAAAGAACAGCAATAAAGGGATTGGGCATTTGTTATGCTGTAGCCTTCTTGGCGCAGTTCAGCTGAACCGGTGTGAAAATGCCCGGGAAGCTTGGGAAACGCTGTATGCGTGTAAGCAGCTATCAGGAACTACCTGCTGTCAAACTAAGCCAAGACTGCCTTTGGAGAAGCTCATTAGTGTGTGCTAAGATGTTTTTGGTGCTACTAGCCAAGTGGGCCAACAGATTGTAATTTCTGTAGAACAAATCTGATTACTCCAATTATTACAGAGTTAGCGCTCATGCAAAACTAAGTCTATGAAAAAAATCCTGACCACCTAAGGCTGAGAAATAAAGAGGAAAAACAGGATTAAGATGAATTAGTGCAGGTCAGTTCCCTTGTTTCACTGATGTGGAAAGCAGGTACATGTGATGTATAAAAACAAATTGTCTTTTGGCATGGCTTCCAAAGGAAATGGGGCACGCTGCTGTGCCGGGCCCATCTGCCGGGCACTTGTTCCTCTCCGCTCGCGTCTCCTGCCTCCCATCCCTTCCACACACAGCTTTCTAACCTGTGGGTTAGTCGTCCGCTTGTGGGGCTTCAGACTTCTCAAAGAGCGATACAAGTTTTCCTCAGAGAGACTGAAACGCCGTTGAAGTTAGGGTTGGCAGTAAGAGAGGGAGCTGCAGCATGAGCTGAGTAGCGGCGACCCGTCCTGGCTCCTTCCCTCTTCTTGTGCGACTGCAAAAGCACCGTGCGTGTTTCCACTTCTCCGTTATTTGATGGATACGGGGTTATCTTGGTGGCGGGAGGCTGTTTGTCTATAGGGTGGAGGGCACAAATCCTTGGAGAACCAAGTTATAAAAATTCTGCTCGTCTTAGAAAAAATTTTGAAAGCTAGCCTAGAAACATCCTGATAGCGCAGAACCTGGCGGTGAGGCAGAGCACCAGGCTGTCATCTGGCACAGTAACAAATTATTCAGAAATCAGTACAGTCTTTTTTGAAAAAATTCTATGTTTTGAATAAAATAAACGATATGCTTGTGTTCTGTTGTGTAAGGCCTGTAACAATAAAACTACTTTAAAGGGCAAAATATACGTACCTTCACATCTCTTGTGTATGTCTGTGTTTTGTTCGCAGGTGCTAGAAACATTTGCTGGACGCCTGATTAAAATAGGAGTTTTAGCAAGGCGGGACATTCCCAGCCTTACAAAGTACCAGATAATTCTAGCAAGGGATCAACATAGAAAAAACCCGTCTTCACAAAATGCGGTAAATGTTTTTTATTTATTTCACATTATTAAAGTAGTGAATAAATAGTAATGCTCCATAGCGTACAAAGTTTCCTGATAAATTTTAAGTTAGATTTCCTTTGTAACATTTATATTTTGCCCTGGAATAAAATATGCCTACTTGTTCCACGTTTCTTGATGCTCATATAGTAAAATTAAGGAAAAGAGGCAGAACTTCATTTCCAAACTGAAATTGGTTTGAGAACTTAGATTGTAATTACTGTCTGCCAAGTTTACATTTTCCCCTCGGAACTACACTACTGCTCCTATTTTTCTGTCAATTGTCATGGAGTGTTCAAATTGTACAAACTTGAAAAAGAATATTACCTAAAACCCAAAAAAGACTGTGTACCTTAAAAAGAACATTGGGAAGTACACTTCACAGTAGGCAAGACAACTTTTCTGACTTAAATTTTGTAGCCTGGGTAGATGTGCCAGAAATCTCTTGGTTTGCCAAATACTGACAGACAGTTCAGCTGTCAGATTTTGAGTGTTGCTGCAGCAGAAAGTAACGAGCTAATCTTGGAAGGTAATGCAGGTATTTGGAGATCGTTTTGATGGTGGAAAAAGATTGCCTCCACTGATCATTAAGACTTGTGCAACCTGTTTCCTGAAGGTTTTGATAGACAGGCTACTCGCTGTGCATTAGTTTGTGCTTGGGCTCCATTTCTCAAATGTCAATCTTATGTTTGTCATAAGAATTGCAGTATGATTCCTGCT